GAATAGGCCCGAGAACGCTTCCTTGTGGCACGCCGCTGCGCACTGAAGCCCAGTCTGATACGGACCCATTAATACTGACACGTTGTCACCTCCCTACTAGAAAATCTCTGATCCATTTGAGTATATTACTCTCAATTCCCAAAGACTTCAATTTACGCAACAGCCGCTCATGTGGCACACTGTCAGTATGAGCGGTATGACACTGTCACCGAACAGTATTAGAGGGATGGTAAATGTATGGATTTACTCATGCAAAACTAATTTATATTAAAAAATTGTACGATTTTGAGTCGATAAATGAAAAATGCAGCGAACCATAATATTTATTTTTTTATATGATGTAAAGTTATTGGTCCCTCATAGCCTGCATCATAGCACAGAATTGCATCTACATGAGCCAGGGTATCCTATGTGCAGCACTGAAATAGCATCATCATTGTTACAACGGTCATCTATATCATTGGTATGACTTTAAATTTATTCGGTATCTACATAATCCATTAATTCAGATTTTATCGTAGTTGAAGCTATCATGAGTCGTTTCATACTTTCATTCTTATAAATAAAATTAATATTACCATCGTTCCCATTATAAGCATGAATATAACGATCTAAACTCGCAATAATCACCGCACAGCAAGATCACAATANAAGTCTTCTAATTAAAGGTGTATTCAACACTTATATAGTCTTCTAATTAAAGGTGTATTCAACACTTATAAAGTCTTCTAATTAAAGATGTATTCAACACTTTAAGTCTTCTAATTAAAGGTGTATTCAACACTTATATAGTCGTCTAATTAAAGGTGTATTCAACACTTATATGGTATTTTAATTAAAGGTGTATTCAACACTTATATAGTGGTCTAATTAAAGGTGTATTCAACACTTATTTGGTCTTCTAATTATAGGTGTATTCAACAGCCCCCAAGTGCCCAAATTAAAGGCATGTTCAACACTCAGGAGGCTGTAGGCGTCAATGTGTCTGTCGCAGACTGCGCGATGGCAGCGCAGGTTTCTGGCGCAGACAGCGCCGCTGCGCTCCATTGCGCAGTCTGCGCGCCTCGTTAACGTCGGCGCTAAAAAAACCTGCGCTTCAGTGGACGGTGAAATCTCCTGTAGAGCTCACCCCAAACTCCCCCTATATCTCCTACAGGGGGCAAGTAGCCAGCGAAAATGTTTATGACAAAAATTTGGTAATAGTATTTTTAGGGGTTTTGTCGGAAGCGTGCAAAAATATGATTAATTTGGTTATTTTCATAGGAAGAAATATCCAGTCTTTGCGATAATCTCTAAGGAATTCAAGCGATAATAGAGGCTTGATTATTGCGTGCATCAATATAAAATATTTCGAAGCTTGTTAATTCTTTTGGCGACGTGAGGAAAGTAAATTTCTTATTACCAACTGGGCGAGCTGAGTGCTTTAGAAAAAGATCTTAACAGGACGTTTATCCTCCTCCGCCATTTATTTTCAAGTCTTCAATTTTATGAATTTCAAGAACAAGCAACGAACGGTAGTTCAAAACCATGGTGGCTTTAATAATGGATTGAGAAATAAAGACTAGTAAATATTTTCCGTACTTCAACAAAATGTAAGTTCATGCTGAGCCCACGTGTCCTTTCCCACAAATTACAATCTTAATTCACATGGAAGTAATTTTCCTGATGCAGCCAAAAAACATTATTTTTAACCACAAAAAAAAAGTCAGAAGCAGGTGTCCCATATACCTGACTCGGCCAGACCAGCTGCAGCAGCCGCAGCTTCTCACCGTCCAAGTACATTTGTAGGATTAAATTCTATCCATCTGAATAACATCTCTCTAGCTCACATCTAATCAATCTTTCATGAGAGGCGGCTGGACTGGCACTAAAAACGCCCTTATTCACGGGCGACATAAGGGCTAGTTTGTCGGGCCCCGACGCCCACCACTGGACAGACCGGAGCTGGTGAGCAATCTTCGTCAATGCAATAAACTTAGCAACTCCAACTGAGAATATTGGAAATTATGGGAGCGAACTGTGGCCGATATTGATGGCCAAGGGGAGATTTAGGGGAAGGATAGTGGGAGTCTGGAGAGATGGCCACACGGCGTGGGGCTTGGGTGCACTTACGCCGAGTGAGGTACAACGGGGAAGACAGGTATACTTTTGATCGAGGGGAAGACAGGTATACTTTTGATCGAGGGGATGACAGGTATACTTTTGATCGAGGGAAGACAGGTATACTTTTGAACGTGGGGAAGACAGGTAGGTAACTTTTTGATCGAGGTAAAGAGAGGTATACTGTCGATCGAGGTAAAGAGAGGTATACATTTGATCGAGGTAAAGAAAAGCATACTCTTGATTTAGAAGAGGACAGTTATAAAGTACAAATGTTCTCACGGATCGGATTTGAATGAAGGTTCGCCACTTTGTTTAGATGAAAATGTAACGCTAGTTAACAAGTTATTATAGACACCCTAATATTGGCGGCTGTTGCGGTAATCTTATTTCCACGCCCAGACGCCGCTAGACCGTGCAATATGATGCGGTCTGGAAATGCTACGCGAAGTATTTACTTTGGAAGTGTGTTTTTCAGTTCATTCGTAATGCCTACCTGGAATTATGATGTATGATTTGAAGTAAAAATACTTATCATTATAAACATAAGTAATGCTGGTCGCTGGAAGTGAAGAGTTTTACTATTTTTATTATACTGAAGATTGCAGGTGGGAATTAATAGATTAAATCATTCAAACATTTTCTTGAGTACATTGCATTTATATTTATTGGTTAGTGACTTAGGATATTGGATATTATGAAATCCTTTTAAACTATGTTAAGAAATCAGCAAGTCAGACATAGAAATATTGTATCATTTTTTTCAAACAAATGTACTTGAATCACAAAAGTTTAAATGCAACACACTTCATAATGCAAACCATAGAAGCACTTTAAAGTCTCCTACCAAACTGCACCAAATTGGGCACAGAAACGCCAAAGATCTCACTCCTCTGCCTTAATTTTCAAGACGAACCATGAAAAAATCATTAGGAGATTGGAGTCGAGTTACCCTCTTGCAGTCCACGGCGCTGGCCATATTAGATGAGCTCGACCCTCTGAGGTACTCAAGCAGATTGCCGACGTGAGGGCAACCCTCAGATTATAGGCGGTAATAAGACGGATTTGCGAGGGCACTGAGGGAGGGTGCCATGAGAAATACAAGCAAGTTACTCATGTCGTGACAGCAATTAGGAGCGAATTTGTTGAGTAGAAACATGAACGTTTTTTTTAAAGCGATTCGTTAAATTGCTGGAGGTTTTATGAATCTGCGGCACGCATGCACTGCCACTGCACTGGCACTGGACACTGCCACTGCACTGGACACTGCCACTGCACTGGCACTGGACACTGCCTCCGCACTGGCACTGGACACTGCCACTGCACTGGCACTGGCACTGCCACCGCACTGGCACCTGTCTCTTATACACATCTAGATGTGTATAAGAGACAGACATAATCTCATTATAACTCCTGACATCTTTCACATAATCTCATTATAACTCTTGACATCTTTCACATAATCTCATTATAACTCCTGACATCTTTCACGTAATCTCATTATAACTCCTGACATCTTTCNAAGGGTCTGGTGTAACTAGAGGTCCCTCAAGGGTCTGGTGTAGCTAGAGGTCCCTCAAGGGTCTGGCGTAACTAAAGGTCCCTCAAGGGTCTGGTGTAACTAGAGGTCCCTCAAGGGTCTGGTGTAGACCTCGTCCGAGACCCTGGGGCAGAACCTGTGCAGCCTCAGACCCCTGAAGAGGTCTAGCACCAGGCTGGGGTTGTGGAGGAACTCGGGGGGACTTGCGTAGTGCAGCAGCGTCCCCAGGGCGTGGGGCTCATCCAGCTGGGGGATAAATAACCATTATTATCCCCCATATCCCCCCATATAACTATTCAATTGTTATTTTTTATTATTTTCAATATATTATATATTTATATTTTTCATTCTTGGGGATAAACAACCATTGTTATCAATTGCTATTTTTATTATTTTTATTACATGTATTACATATTAGATTTTTAATTTCTTTTATTATTATTTTTTTAAATTAGGGGAGTTATTTGTTATTTTTAGTATATCTATTATATTATATAATGTATTTTCATTTTTTTTTGTTATTTTATGAAATAAGTAAAATTATTAGCCTATTCTATGCACGGAGAGAAATGACTGAGTCATTGTCCAAATAGCTAAGCACTTGTGCTTGTGTGAGTCATGTTGACTCAGTTTGGTCAGGTAGAAGGGCGCATCAGTGATGCATCCGCTTACTCCTCGTGATGTACGTAAGTATGAATAAGCGTCACGTTTTAGACAATATGACCAATTAATTTTATCAGTGCATCACCCATGAGGAGTGAGTGAATACAAATATAAGATAATTTAGTTAAAAAATGGAACGAATAATTTTAATATTTCACCGATTATGAAAATTACGAAATGAACAAAATCATTGACGGCCTTTCAAGCAAAATCCACCAATCATAGACAAGAAAATAGAGCGTAAGTACTTACGTTCACTTAGCGAGTTGTGAAAGTATGGCCCCTGAACTGTAACCACTGGGCCACCCTGCCATCATATGGCATATCATATGATAACTACATATTTGTTGAACCTTCATGACGTTAACGGCGACATATTATAAATATATTTATCATATTATGATTATACTTATCATATTATGATTATATATGTATATATAATAATATATCATATAATGACTACATATTTGTTGAACCTGCATGACGTCAACGGCGACAGCAGCGTCAGGGGGGAGGAGGGTGAAGAGTTCACAGGGCCCCCCGACCCCTGACCCACACGCCCCCTTCACCGCCCCCGTCAGCAGGGGGGTTACGGGGGTCAGGAACGAGTGGGGGGAGGAGGGGGAGGTGTCAGCTGGCTGAGCTGACATCAGGGTGTCGTTCTCCAGCTGGGTTCAAGTTAGGTTGGGTTTAGGTTTAATTTTCATTCATTTGATTTCATTCATTCATCCTAAGTAAACCCGTCATAGGAGAAGCTTAGTTTAGATTTCATCACGTATAGAAAATAATAGTAAATGATAATTATTATTATTGATAATTAAATGATGGTAATTATAAATAAATGATAATTAATAAATGATAATAAGTCATGCATCCGATTGTTAATCCTGGCTTTAATGATGCTTTAGAGAACATAATAAATTATAAAAAATATTACCATGAGCTTCATAGCCTCGGACACAATTGGGTGGCGAGGGGGCACTCCGAACACGAGGGGGGAAACGCCCCCCATGTGAGGGAGACTCCAGGCGGGGGGAGTATCCCCCCTGATCCCCGCCTCACCCATGAGGATGCCTTCCCCTTTATTCATGATGGAGAGGGTGAGGGGTTGGGTCAGAATCACCCCCATAGGGATGACTATTCCTCCAGAGGACCACAGCAGGCTGAGGGAGGCGGTGATCCAGCTGACCCAGCTGGTCCAGGTGCTGAGACCAGCTCCGTAGCGCCAGGACCGCAGCTGGGTTCTCAGGGTCGCCTGTCAATTATATATTTAACAAATTAAAATATTCCAAAATATTAAATAAAATTGAAATATTACAGCTCAATGATAATCAAGAGTTATCATTTATGTACATCATTCGAGGAAATTAGATATTTAAGATCGCACAATATCATAATTTGTTAAGACCACATGAAAATCAGATTGTTTCAAGAATGAGAAATATAAGCAAAACATTTATTTACTCGCCAACCCTTAATCAATTTTAAGATTATGTCCTTCAAGTGAATGATGCCTAAAAAGTTCATCCTACATATAAAATAAAAGTTCATCCTATAAAAGTTCAGTATTCCTAAAAAGGTTCATCCTATAAGCTATCAGAACATCATGAGAAATATTGTTTAACTTGACTGTTTAACTCATACTCTCTTAGCGTCGAAGTAGTTGAGGTGAACACCCCTCAACTTGTTCACAAAGTGCGTCCAAGAGTTCATTATTTATATCAGCACATGATAACAAATATTGTTTAATTTTAATGCCATGTTCAACTCATACCCTCTTGGCGTCAAAGTAGTTGAGGTGAACACCCGGCAACTTGTTCACAAAGTGCGTCCAAGAGTCCCCCCTGAACACCGTGGATGTCCACCTGTACACCCACACCTGTCGCACCGCCGACCGCTTCGCGTCCCATACGAGCTTAACTTCTCCGGGTTTGAGATCATCCTTGTTTGTTTCCTGATTATTATTCATCTGTTTATCCCTCTCTTCGTTCATGTGTTCGCCTTTCTCTTCTTTATCCTTCTGTTCGTCCATATGTTCGCCTTTCTCCTCCTTCTTCTCTTCGTTCTGCTGTTGTCTCAGTTGTTCATCCTCGGGTTCATCCAAAAGCTTTTCGGAAACCAAGTCTGGTGATTGGAAGGCGAACTTGTCATGTATTTTCTGCGCCATGAGATCGTGTTCGTCCAGCGCGAGGTGCAGGCGACTGAGGGTATCTTCTTCACGTCTGCCTTCGTCAGTTCCCTCTCTGTCATCGTCCCTCTTAAGCAACTTCGCTTCGTCTATCGTCATGGGATTGCGCAAGTTCTCAAGGAGTTTTTGCAGTTCTTCATGGTCTGCGAGTTGCGGTTTCTTGACGGAAGTCGTTTTCTCTTTGGTTTTGACTTCGACGTTACGAGTGGCGGCTTCGATGCCACACGCATCCCAGGCCGTCATGTGCCCCCCGTCGGGGGGTGAAATGATAATTACGGGAGGGGGGTACGGTCCAGGCTTGGGGGACACAAAAATAAAATATTAGGACACCAATAGACAATCGGCAAATTAAATAACACTGAAAAACTCCACGCGCTAACGGGATTGTTTTCTTACGTATTAATATAGGACAATTATTTGAAATTTAGGCATAGAATATCCGCAGTACTATTGACTAAGCACGTCGGAGGCTAAAACAATTCGAAAAGACACATAGAAAAATTATTGATTAACTTCGACACGAGATACTATGGCAACGAAGGCATTCCCCTCTCACCGAGTCGTAGGTAAGGTTGAGGGTATGTTGAGATTCCCACAAAATGATGAGGGTAGCGAGGGAGCAAATCCCTAGGACCAGCCCCAGGCGTTGGGGAGACTGTCTGATCACGAAGTAGCCCAGCCACCCAACTGTAAAATATCGTAGCACATTTAGACGGCAAAAATAAGGGATTTTCCTTACCTTAATCAGAACGTAGAACTAAAATACAAATAATACTTGTATCTCAAGTCTGTTTACATCTTAAGTTCTCCGGTTATGGTTATAAATTTCAAATTTATCTAATATTTAAGAACAAAAAATTCACTTTCATTGGCATTTATGAGCTTTACGATATATAGTGACAAACCACATAGGCTGAATACCTACAAGGGCATATTACACAAGCTGTAAGATCAACATGGATAGATCCCACAAGCTGTATAATCTACACGGACGGATTACACAAGCTGTATGACCTATACTACATATAACTCACTCGTTGGTCTCACTAGCAGCATCTTGGCAGGATGGGTTCTTTGTATGCAAGTCGCGAAACTCTACAAATTATTCAATAAATAAAGACACTATTTTATGCTTTAACATAGACCAACGTCCGAATTTTGACGTGCGCTCACAGCATGAACTTTGGAAAATGTCACTCATTCAATAACTTTTCTTGAACTAGATATTACTATAAATATTGAGAAAGCAAAGGTAGTTAATTCGTTGTTAAATTTCAGCGTTAAATGGCCGCTATTTTAAGAATTTATTGCGAAGCTTCAAAGTCAGCCGCAGACTGCGAGACTCGTGGCCGCAGACTGCGCCTGTACTGGTAACGGCCTTCGATACCTACCGGTCTCTTGGCTACCGAGTGGATACCATTGGATACCAGGACCGTTACCAAGACTCAGCCACGACCTTTATCGACCTGCGCGCCCCTGAGTGATTGTAGCGAACTTAACCTCTAATGAAGCTAAACTTTAACTATATATTGCAAACTGTATGCAAGTTAAATTATACAAGATGTGCCAATTATTTTAGTAGATATTTAGTATATGTAAATATTAGCCACAAAAGAAACCATTTAAAGCTAGAAAAGCTTTGTATGCGATACGAATTCAATCGATTAAATAATAACCATGAAACTGCAGCACCAGAACAATGACACTGTAATGCGACAACAGGACACTACACTGCACAGTTTACAGTGCATGCTTGCACCTACAATGCATGCTACATAGTTTATGAGAACCTTACACATAATTGATGTACAAAATGTACTCTGCTTAATTTATATAGTATTTAATATCCACTTTATTAAGTTTGTGCAGCATGAAATAATTGATGATCCTGAAATTTCAAATTGGTGCCTTGCCCAATTTTTGCTCCGCCAAATGCCTACTGCGCCAAATGCCTACTGCACCAAATGCCTACGGCACCAAATGCCTGCTGCACCAAAGGCCTGCTGCCCCAAAGGCCTACTGCACCAAATGCCTGCTGCCCCAAAGGCCTACTGCCCCAAAGGCCTACTGCGTCAAAGTCATACCGCACCTAATGCCTACTGCCCCATAGGCCTGCTGATCATGTATTATTCTTGAATAAAAAGAAATCGTTTTCTGCAGAAATTAAAACAACTGCATAGCAACCACCCGCTGATCTTCAGTAGGCCTATTGTAATTTAACTAGATCTTAATTAGGTCTATTTTCTGAAGGCCTTCTGTAGCTCTTCAGTAGGCATACTGCACGCCTACTGAAGACAGAAGACCTCATTTACTCAATCATTATTGAATAAAATTAGTTGTTTAATTAATTGGTATTAAACTTCACAATTCACATGCAAGTTATCAGACTTCACTACTCAAAAGTTATAATCCTTTGCTACTATATTACTCAATAGTTATCCGACCAAAGGCCTACTGCACCAAATGCCTACTGCGCCAAAGGCCTACTGCGCCAAAGGCCTGCTGCGCCAAAGGCCTACTGCCCCAAAGGCCTACTGCACTAAATGCTTACTGTCCCAAAGACCTACTGCACTAAATGCCTACTGCGCCAAAGGCCTCTACTGCCCCAAATGCCTACTGCGCCAAAGGCGCAGCCGCAAGCGCCCGCTGAACTTCAGTAGGCCTAACTTAACTAGAGCTTAATTAGGTCTATTTTCTGCAGGCCTTATGTATCTCTTCAGTATGCATATTGCACACCTACTGAAGACAAAAGACCTCATTTACTCAATCGTTATTGAATAAAATTAGTTGCTTAATTAAGTGGCATTACACTTCACAATTCACATGCAAGTTAGCAGACTTCACTACTCAAAAGTTATAATCCTCCTCTACGATCTTACTCAATAGCTATCCGACTTCACTGTTTATTCACGTGATTGTCATTTGACTTCATAAAGAACAAATAAGCAACCTGTGATCCTGGGTCAAGTGGTCTCGCATTTAATGTCAAGATGAAGCCAATAATTTAGCTAACTATTTAAATTTTCTCATTCAAGAGAGGAACGAAACACTCGTGCAGTGAGGGAAGCTTGAGCATCAATGAGGGTAGCTTAAGCCCTCACTTTACTACTCACCTTTCAAAGCCTCTTCTTCTGTTAACCTGAGGGCGTGAAGGAATAAAATGCAGGAAGAGGGAGAGGGCAGAGAAGCGGAATGGATGAGACGGAAGGGTGATGGGAGAGGAAGTTGACACACTCTCCCCTCACCCACGGGGAGCGCTTACCCCTTTGCAAGGCTCATTATCGAGAAGGGCTTTATAATACAAGTGCCAGCTCTAATTACGGGCTATGAGGGGGATGGGGCAAAGGGGAGAGCAAGGGGAGGGGAGTGGGAGGAGGAAGGGGAAAGGAGGAAAAGGAAGTCGGAAGAGGGCATGGTTAAGGGGAGAGGTGGAAAGAGGGAAATGGAAAGGAAGGAAGAGGGGAGGAGAGAAGGGGTAAGAGAGAAGGGGGAGAGAGAAGGGGGAAGAGAGAAGGGGGATGAGAGAAGGGGGAAGAGAGAAGGGGGATGAGAGAAGGGAATGAGGAAGTAGGGAAGAGAGAAGGGAGGAAGAGAAAAAGGTAAATAGGGAAGAGAAGTAAGAAGAGCGAATCGCATCGTATCCCCAAGAGTACGCAGAAACTTTTGTGAGCACCACTACCTGCTTGATTAAAGAGGTTAATGCAAAGTACCAGTGGGCTTGCAAGTAGAGTAATAGCATTATTTTTAGGTAGGTAATGAGTGTAGTACCAATTTCGTTCAAGTACAGTATCAGTATAGCAGCAGGAAGTAAATTCTCGTACTTTTAAGTAGAGTGTCATGGTAATTTGTGATGCAACATCAACCTGGTTTCAACAAAAGTATCTGTCAAGATTTAAATAGGGTACTCAAGTAGTGACAACTAGAATATAATTGTGGGGATTGTAGTGTATCAAAGAGCATAATATGTCACAACTCGAATATAACCGTGAGATATTGATGTGTAAATAATAACTGATACCGGTACACGGGCAGGGTATATGTGAAAAGTCTACGGTTAATGCTACCAGGATTCAAGTATCTATCTATCAGCTGCCAATTAGTCATTAACCTTATGACGATTATTGATGAGACTTCAATCGATTGCAACTAAATGAAATAAGTTTGAATACTTTATCATACAGTGTTAGTTAGTTTAAGTTTAGTTCGAAAGTCTATTTGATTGTTGCCGGCGAGAAGTAACATTCATGCATTGGACTTTCAATTCAGGGGTGATGTTGGTGCTTAGTAAAGAGTACACGGCAGCCTAAATATCAAAATACCAGTTCAAAATTCAAAGGAAACCTCGATATTATAAATTTAAGGACAACTATGAAATTAAAAGACCACCTTAATTTAAAAATAAACCTCAAAATAAGAAATCTCAGTTTTTAAAAACTATTTTTATATTGAAAGAAAACATCTAGTTACGTGTTCATTTCTGTCAAAGCATTCGTAAATAATATGATAGTGACACTTATTTGGTGCATTTTTAAGAAAGGAAGCATAAAGAGTTTCTGGATAGATAATAATGCGTATATATTGATTGAAATTCATTGTGAATTATGAGAATTGGCGTTTTAAATTTAAATTTTGGAAGATATTTGTAAAAATCGTGTAATTAAACGTCCTAGTCAAAATTCGTGGTTACGGTGGAAATAATGAAGGAAAATCGTTGGACAGAAATGAAAGGCTAATAGACAGAAAGAAACGGTAACGCTAAGTTTTAGAAAGAAAAGAATTAGAAAACGATATTCAAGATTTCAGGGGAGTCTCTATTATTACGTGCGCTCCCACAGTCGCTACTAACGACGCCTGAGCATTTGGTGTGGTAATCATTGTATCTCATTTAAATCCTCTTCCAATTTTCTTCAGTAATTAGATAGAATTTTAATTACGGTTTTGTAATTGACATCATTTTCTGAGGGAACTCTCACTTTCCACTCCTGCTTGAGGCCTCCTGCTAAACGGACATTTTCTTTCCATCAATCCTACTCTTAAAATAACTTTAATCTTAAAATAACTCTAAATAACTTTCTCCTCATCCCACCAACCCAGCCTCACGCAGAAAATCTATCATTGCTCCTCCACCAGATCCTGTTCTTCCCCACCCAATTAACCCAAAACTGCCCTCTCCCTCTGATTACCTTATTAACCCCAAACTTTCCCCCTCCCCCTGATCCAGCCCCAACATCAAATTAGCCCCAGTTACCCCCTGTCCTGAGGTCATCCAGTATAGAGGCTCTTGAGGCGGTCGCTTACAAGGCCCCACGTCCCCTTGGGGACGCAGCCTCTTTACTCATCCCCAGCTTTACTGCTCAATTATTATCATAATTCACGTAGGAATAACATTACGAATAATTGGACGAGCTTTTCTGTGAATATTTGTTGCGGGCGAGACGCGGCTTAGCTTGCACTCAAAGCTAAAGGTTTAGGGGTTAAGGCTTAGGGGTTGTAAAGGGTTAGGGGTTAAGGCTTAGCTTAAGGTCAAGTTAACTTCTGATTAAAGATTAAAATAATTTAGCCTTGCGCTTCACGACTAGTGTAAATTTTGATGGAAATTTCGATGATAAATCATGGATCTCTATGAAATTTTTTATTCCTCTTAAATTTATTTAGTTTACGACAAATCAATTCACAAATTTTATTAAGGAAAAAGAAGGAGAGACCTAAAGGTCTAAAGGCCGCTGGCCCAGTGGTAACTGAATCCAATCCTACCAGGATTGGAGCAGCGAGTTGTGGGTTCGATCCCAGCTACCTGCGACAGTTCAAATTCAACTATAGGTGGCTGGGCGGGTATGCACAGCAAAATTGCATCAATGAGTTGCCTGTTCGAAACCATAAGCAAGCTTTCAAAATTCTGCTATATTCAGAATCGGCAACAGGTTTAATGGTCTAATAAACCCTAAATAAAAACTAGAAAATGAATTCAATGCAAAAATTTTTATTAGCTTAAATATTGGGTGAAAAATTGGTGACTATTCAACGATTGAAGTTTCCTAAATAACAGAAATGACCAATAGCTCGCTAGCCTTGATTGAAGATAAAATATGTCGCTGGCACAACAACTTGTCTGGCCGTCCGTTAAGCGGCGATAAACGCCAAAACCTAGTGACAAGCTGGCCATAACACGACGAAACCCGATGCTGCGCTAGCTACAATACACCGATGATACGCCGGCCATAATACACCAATGATACGCCGGCCATAATACGCCGAAAACACTGAAAAGGTAATCAGGCAGCTGAGTCATCAAGAGGCACGAGGCTGATGACTCCATCAGTCGTCGGCTCCGCTTGGAGAAACTCTAATTTTTTTCAGTGGAGCGCGACAAGTTGCGGTCACGTTTTGCGAGGTCGGCAAACTTTCATGGCAAGTTTAAGTATGCAGGCGCTGCTCAGCCGTGCCCTCAGCCGGGCCCTCAGCCGTGCCCTCAGCAGCACCCAAAGCTGCATCACTCTCCAGCAGCACTCCTCAGCAGCAACCCCTCCAGCAGCACCCCTCAGTATTACCCCTCAGCAGCATCACCCACCGCAGCACCCCTCCAGCCGCAACCCTCGGCAGTACCCCTCTGCGTCACCCTCAGCAGCATCACCCACCGCAGCACCCCTCCAGCCGTACCCCTCAGCAGTACTCCTCAGCAATACCCTTAGCAGCAACCCCTCAGCAGCATTTCTCAAGCATCTCCCTCAGCACACCCAGCGTCACCCACAGCAGCATCACCCTCCACAGCACCCTCACTCGCAGGATCCCTCAGCATCGCCCTTAGCAGTTCCCTCAGCAGTTCCCTCAGCACTCAGCAGTCATGTCCATATTACGCATGTCGTAAACGCCCATACGACCACAACCACGCTCCCTCTGGAGCAGCCAAACTTTTATCTCTATTCAGAACTGCTCAAGAATTTCTTAATATTTGGGGGCAACTTAATTTGCATTCTTTGGGAAGGTTTTGTTTAGCAGTGAACTTTTTTTGTGGCATGGCATTCATTATATTATCATTCATTAGGTGATTGAACTGAGAAATGAGAGAACAATTAAAGTAAATTTTTATTATTATACCGAAGTGTATTTGAGTTTCCTGTAATTAGTTCAACTGTAAAGCATTAGTCGTTAATGACGGACTAATCTTAAGGAGGAGAACCAGAAATGTGATAAACGTATAATGATGAGCGCAATAGGATAGCAATACTCATAAATAATAAATAATAACGATATACATGAATTATATAGTATATAATAATAATAACATTAATTATGAATCTGGGTGGCATGGAATAAATAATCTCATTAACTGTGAGAACATTAGTGAACCAAATTATTCCTATGGAAATGTAGCAAGTTAATCACATGGATTCAGGATTTGAATTAATACTAATTGGTCACACAGTTCATAACAATTGATCTGCAAAGAAAGTATATAAGGGAAGAAATATCCTCTTGAACTTTAATTCATCTTGTTATAAATCCCTCAAGTTCGACCAGTTTTCTAATTTTTTCTCATACATAAATTATCATCTTATATAAATTATCATCTCGTGTAGAAATTATAGCTGATTTTTAAGCAATGTAGAATTTAATTAGGTTAGAAAATTTTAAAAATGTAAAATTCAGGTGTGTCATTACTGATTTCTATTTATTTTCCCATTATTTGATTTCTGCTTCAAATTTTGAATTTTTGTTCCGATTTCGAATTTTTGATGGATAAGGAAAACATTTTCGGGATTCACAAGTTCCTTTATCATCACGAGAAGTGTCCATCGCTGTGGTGGTGCTTATTCTGGCGGTGGGGCGCGGTGGGGCGCGGTAGCGGGGCCAGGTGGTGAGCGGTAGCGGGGCCAGGTGGGCGCGGTAGCGGGGCTAGGTGGGGCGCGGTAGCGGGGCCAGGTGGGGCGCGGTAGTGGGGCCAGGTGGG